CGACAGTGTGGGAAATCAGGAGGGAGAGGAGGGGTGGGCAGCTCAGGAGGAGCAAAGGTCTAACAGTGTCCACTGGAGCTTGTTACTGAATTGGAGAAGAGGGGATCAAGTAACTGTCACATGAGATTGCCAGGTGGGTCACTTAGTTGGATAGTTATATGACACTAAGTACATCGGTTATTTTGTTGACAATAGCCAGAGTCATCACTTGCTGGGCAGAAATGGCTAAAGAGGAAACAAGTTTCACTATTTCAAACTAACATAAAAATGTTTTATTCCATGTGGTAGTTGTCAGTAAAATATGACATTCGATACAGTCTCTGAATTGAGAGTAAGAGAATCTGGCCTTCCACACTGCAGATAAGATTTTAGAGTTACTCTGTGTAATATAGTGCCCCGTGTTTGGCAAAGAAAAGTTTAAAATATTCTCCTGGACAGCACAAAGTCCTATTATGTTGTATGTAGGAGTTCAGATTGAAAAGTAGGCTGTGTATGTAGGGCTGCCTTCCTTCCCTTTTACTGTCACCCCATCCCACTTTTCTGTATTTCCAGTTATTTCATGTTGTATGGTAGGGTTTGTTGTTGTTGTTCTGCTAGGCTTATTTCACACTGGTGGGCCACATCCTTTAATAAGCTGTGACTTACACAGGTGTGCTCCTCTGAAGCAGGGGGTGGGACGTGTGTCTTCTCTGACACTTGTAATTCTTTGTAGATGACGGTGTCACTGAAGGGCTGTACAAAACAGCACCAGCCCGCACTGCCATGTCTGGCGCTTCTCTACCTACTCACCTCTCACTCCAGAAGAATTTAGGACAAAAACCTGAAAATAATCAAGCCCTTCTTGTAGTAGTCTGCTAAGGATGTTATAAAATAAAAAAAAATACCACAGACTTGGAGACTTTGAACACAGAGATTATTTCTCCATAGATTTGATGACCAGGAGTCCCAAGTCGAGGTGCCATCAGAACTGCTTTTCCTGACATGTGGTTGGTGCTTTCTTGACGTGTTTTCCAAAGGGCTTTCATCTGCTCTGAGTGCAGAGGGAGAGAGATCTTGGCTGTGTCTTCTCCTTGTTGTAAGGATGTGAATCCTGCTGCATTAGTGATCCAGCCTTGTGGACTATGTGATGTTAATTACCTCCTAGACGCCCTGACTGTGGTCACACTGGGAATTAGTGCTGAATTCCAGTTACGAGTTTGAGGCAACACGATTCATTTTACACTACTGCTTATGCACATGTGGGCATTGAATTGTATGACTTGGACAAAAGCAACTAATTTTGTTATTTTATAGACATAGCGCCTTTGAGAGCTAAATTCTGCTAGAATGGACCCATGTCAAATCTCCTGTCACTACTGTCTCTTAATGAGTCTACCTGGATATATGTAGCTTGCAATTCTATTATCTAGAGAGAGAGATACTTGCATATACATTGTGTGATTATAGGAAGTATATTAAAGAGAACAAATCTATTAGAGGTGTCCAATACACTTATAGACAAAGCAAAATCAGAGATGCATTTTTGAGTATCAACTTGACAAAAGCATAAGGAAATACTGTTGAGAATAACAAAGGTCACTGCCGTTTGCATATTCAGTAAATGACATTCTCCTGATACACCTGATGAGCAGATATGATGGACCAGCTTGGTAGCAAGATAATTGGGCTCTCAGAAGTCTGAAAAATACATATATTCTCGTTCTGTTTATTACACATCTAGGAATTTACTTGCTGAAAATATTATAAATTAAAAATGATATTAAATTTTCATCAATCTCTGGTACTAAAAAAGATATTGAATTTTTGAATAAGATGTAAGTAAATGTTTATGTATACAGATTATTGAATACTAAGTGTTCATCATACAGTTAAACTATAGAATACTTTCTGTTCATACAGGAAAACAAATATTCAGGAGATATTGCTGAGCACTGACAAATTTTTTAAAAAGTATTCATTCTTTTTTATATAAAATCATTACACAGAATAAGTTACATCAGGAAAAATAAATTACCCAAATCCCAGACAAAGTAAATATGCTTATCTGAGATTGCAGAAATACTGGTTGCTTTTCCTGGATTTGTTTTTGTTTTTATTTATTTCTCTGTAATATCCAGATTTAGTTTAGAATAAACACTAATTTTTTAAGGATTAGCTATTACTGAGATGAACCTACTTGGCCACATTACTGCAATGTCTGGAGGCTTAAAGCTTATTACCCTTAACATGAAGCTGTGCAGGGCTTGGATGTGGCAGTTGTGGGGTGCATCTCCTCTGTCCCTGTGTGCTGCAGGCTTAGAAGATTGGGAGTGGAAGGTGATGTCCTCTGCTGTCCAGAAACAGTGATGACTGGTGGTTAAATTAAATCTGGATTTAAAAACTCATAAACCACGGAGATTATTCCAACTCATTTGCACTCAGGCATGGATTTTGCCTTAGGTAGCCAGGGCTCTGTGTGTCAGAATAAGCCTTGCAGATTTCACTTCTGTCTGTTCCTGATGTAGGAGAAGGATGGGAAAAGGGCTAGATATTCAGGCCTAAATCTTCCTTATACTTTTTTGGTCAAATTGAAGTGCCTACAGGTAAACTGGTTCTGTGCCTCTTAAGGCCCATATTTTATCATGACAGTTCACTGTCATGCTTCTGAAAGTCATATTTTATAAGAATTAGGAGGCTAGCATTTAGGAGGCAGTACAGGTTATGGGAAATAGGCTGGCACATCAAAGGACACTAAAATGGAGAGTAAAAAAGCAGAGAACTTGAGTTTCTGACTGACTTATGTTACTTCATAACTTTGAGACAATTTCTTGGTCAAAAAATAGGTTGATGGTAATACTGCAATAGCCCAGAACCCGGATTAACGTGAGCTGAATAAAATTCAGAGAACAAAAACACTGGAATCGATCCTGTAAGATATGTAGTACTCCTTTCTCACATAAGGTACTCCTGTGTAGAGTCCCTGTTGGAAGCCATGTGCTTGGATATAGATGGAGAAGCCAGGGGCAGGCAGATCGCTCTCTCATGGAGTTGACTGTGAGCACAGTGCTGCTCTGTCCTTTTCTTTTTACCTTCTGCCTCTGCCCCTCCCCACTCAAACCTCTCTTAAATGCAACATCATAGGTCTCCTCTACTTCACCTGGGACAATATTTTTTGGCCTGTGTGTCTACCTTTTGCACAACTAAGAGACTTGATCAAATAAGAAGCCACACAGAAAACCAAGGAAAATACATAAATATACTTCAGCATGGTCTTCCCAACCCCACTGCCACAATCACGTAAATCTCTGTCTTTCATCCTGTTAGTTTCCATCCCCACCATACTTGGAACATTTTTGGCAAATCATATTTAATTGTATCCTTATTCTTTGCTTAAATTGTGTTTAGTAAATATTATTTTCTCAAACACTCTCCCATATTGTGTTTGTAACAGATTTCATTTTCTCAGTGCTATTCTAAACCCCTGCGGTGATATAAATAACTTACTTTAAACAATAAAAACAAAGCAAAAGTTAGTTGGAATGTTCAATGAAAAATCTGGCAAGTTTTTCTTATGTGTTTTGACTAAAATAGTGTAATTTAGCTTCTTCTCTTTTGCACATCCTTATCTCTAAATGAAACTATTTATTAAATAATTTAACATAGGGCAATGGCTTCTTTCAGGATTCTGTCACATATTATAGAACCCATGATGCTCACATCATAAAACAGGAAGTATCCTTTAATCTACACACTACACTGGTTCTTAGATAGACCTGTAAAATAGAAGCTTTGGGCATGAAAATAACTGTTTTTCTTTTTTCTGCTCCCGTCCTTTTATTTAGAGTGGGTTCTGTAGTGCCTTAGTAAAGGTGCCCTCAGTAAACTATGGCTTACCCAACTGACGATCATGGCTAGATGAGATAGGAGGCAAATGTCTTGATCCATTCAGACTAATGAAAAACACTGTTAAATATCATAGTTTGGGAGCCTGAGAAGCCCAAAGTTAAGGAAGGACCTGGCAGGTTCTGAGTCCAGTGAGAGTTTGATTGCTTGTTTACACGTGGTGCCTCCTTGCTGTGTCCTCTCAAATGGAAGGGGTTGGCATCTCTGCTGGACCTCTTTTACAAGAGCACTGATCCAGTTCATAAGTACAGTACACTTCCTGCTGACCTCATCACCCTGCAATGCCCCCCATCTCCTAACAGCTCACCTTGGGTTAATAAGATTACAGTGTATGAATTGGATGGGCACAAACATTTGGGGCACAGCAGTCTCCTTTGAGTATGAGAGATGTTACAATAGAGCAAAATAACTTGGGGATTTTATTTTTAATCTGTACATATATGTTCATTTGTGCATTGGGGATGATGTGATTTGAGGTTTCTACCTTTTTTATTTTTCTATGTAAAGTGAGACAAAATAAATGGCAGAAATGGTGGAAAATGGGCTTCCATAGTTTTAAGAAGGTTTTTTTCCCCTGATTGTCACAGAGAAAGAACTCAGTAAATATTTGTGGGATGGACTAGTAATTTTATTGTTTTTCACGGTACCAATTAAGCTTCTCATGTTAACTCAGAAATCTCATGAAGTATTGCTAAATTATTAATCATGACATTGTGTTCTTAGAAAGAAGAATATCTAGTAGATTTTCTTTTAAGTTGGAAATATACCAAAAGATTATCAGTTTGCCTAAAATAGTTGCACGTTTTGAGGTGGACTAGTTTCTTAGACCCAAAACTTCTTTATCTCTTTACTCGGGCTTTTCATTTCCTTCCCATTGTTTCTGTCACTTGCCTCAAAGAGAAAGCCTAGTGTGAAAATGTGCTGTCTCAGATTTGATTGGGCTTGGCACGAAGAGCAAATATTTTCTCTCCTCGTATTTTTCCTCTTCTATAACTATGTCACATTCTGTCTTCACAGTCATAACCCTCGTCTTTGCACAGTGTGTTCCCTGGGATTATGTGATAGATGTTTGTGATGATGACATGCAGTTGTACTGAGCTTGTCCTCTTGTATTTTAGGAGCTATGCCTGTCCCAGACCAGCCTCCATCAGCCTCCGAGAAGACCAGCTCTCTGAGCCCCGGCTTAAACACTTCCAACGGGGATGGCTCTGAAACGGAAACCACCTCAGCCATCCTTGCTTCAGTCAAAGAACAGGTAGAAACATTCCGTTTTTGTGGCTTGGGTATCAGGACACTGAAAAAGTTGCCTTTTAGATGAACAATTATGGTTAAATTATGTTGGAAGACCATCATAATTCTCTAGCAGAATGTTGGTATTCATTACACAAATAATAGTAAAATATAGTTACACTTGCTTTGACCTCATAATATTATTCTTGATTTCGGTGGCTTTCTTCGAAAAACAAAATTCCAGAGAGGGGGAAAATTCCTCCTCATAGGTGAATTTTTAGTAGATTTGTTGATGCACGTGACTGTACTCTTAAGTGTATGAAGGTGAGTAGATGCTCTTTAGAAAATATGAAGTCAAATAAGCTGCCTGCATATATTCAGGAGGCCAACACATAAGTGTGTATTGACAGGAACTGAATGTCACATTATTGTCAGCAACTGGATGTCATATTAGGTCAAGGTAAATTGGCCTCCCCAGGGTTTCTGCGGTAGATCTGGAAGGGTGCATTCTAGAACTTTCCTTTTTAAAGTAATTAAAATTTGATGTGTTCTCCATTTCTACTTTGCCATAAAAATAGACAAAATAAAAATTGAATTTGAGATTTTTTAAAGAAATTTTTTGATGAAATTGATGCTTCTTGTACATAAAAAGTGGTATGTGGTTTAACAGAGTTAAGTAATGAAGTTACTTTAATTTTCTTCTTCTGAGCATGTGTGAAAAGTAAATCAGTAAATCAGTATTCTTGTACTTGACTTTTTTTTAATTCTAAGAAGACCCTGATTGGTTTTTTAAGTTGTTGCTCATTTGCAAGAGAATTTTAAGTTTAATGTTCTGTTCCCATTAATGTTCATGAACCTAGCACAGTACCACATGGTAATATTTTAGTCCCTAAAGTCTGCATGTATGACCATGGTGCATACAATTATCTTACCTACTGGTGTCCTAGATACCTAGTTTGTGTAAGCGCACGCTGTGTTGTTCACTGTACTGTCTAATGACACATTTCTCATAATGTATTCCTCTTTTTAAGTGGCACAAAACCATTTTTAATTGACCTATGATATTTGAACTTATTTATGGGACATAGTATTGCAGTTGGAAACATGTATTGTATAATCTATAATGATAAAATCAGGCTAATTAGCATTTCCACATCCATTATCACATTTCTGTATTGTTAACCTTCAAATTCTTCTCTTCTAGTTATTTTGAAGAATATAATGCATTTTTATAGACTGCAGTTACCCTGTCAGGCTATAGAAATCACCACTAATTCCTTCACTAATATTTGGGTACCTATGTATTGTCTTTTCTCCTATCTCCACTTTCTCCTTCCCTTCCTTAGCTGTAGTGACTTCTCTTCTACTCCCTACTGGGTTGGGTCATTTTGTGCAGTTGTCCTTACGTAGAGGAACATGCCAGCCCAAAATGGAGCAATTAAAGATAGCGGCTACTCCCAAAGAAGACTATCAAGGAAACTGGCACTGATCCTGTTTCAGTATAAAAAAGTTAATAAAAGGCTAGGGATGCAGCTCTGTGTAAGGGCCCTGGGTTCCATCCATGGTTGTACAAAAGAAAAAAAGCTATGTCTGTGTTTCAAAGTATGCACCCAGGTCGGTTCACAAGAGAGAGCCCAGCAGATTGGCTGAAGGGTCTAGCTTGAGAGTATGGTCTGGAAACTGGGTCGAGGTTTAGGCTGTACTTCTTCATTGGTCTCCTTTCAAACTTCCACTCTTGGACTCCCTGATTATTTTTTTTCTTTATTGAGTTTATTGGTACAATCTAGGTATACAGTACAGTTACATTCATCATTGGGATTCTGTACCTTTGCATAATAGGTCTTGATTCTCATTTTTTCCCCTTGTCCCTGGCCTCCCTTCACCCCCTCCTCCCCTCCCCATTTACAAACACTTTATTTCCATTTTTTCAGTTTCTCATATTTTTTTCCTCTACCTTATTACCTTTCCCCCACCCTTCCCACTTTCCCTACACCTTTAGCCCTTTACTTCCTATTTCACATTATTAATTGTCTCATTAGGATCCTGTGTACTATTATAGTTTTTCACACCAAAGAAACTGTTCAGTATTTCAGTTAAAGAAATATCTGTATGAACATTAAAAATAGGGGAATCCTAAAATAAAACTAAAAAGGAAAGTAAAAGAGAAAAGGCAATGATGTAACATTAAAATAATCCTTAATTCTGGAGATGAAAATGTTCCCTGAACATATTTAAATTGCTTCTTGCTCTTATACTCTTATCTTATTCTTTTTTTCATTATGTAGAGAATACTTTATTAATTTCTGTAATCCAACCCACATAGATATGCCCTTACATATTTAGTATGATGTGTTACCCCTGTACACATGGAAAAAAAAATAATAATAAATTAACATTTCTAGACCAATATGGCTGTCCATTTCTGTGCAATGCCAACTCAACACAGTAAATTGGGATGACTTTTTCCAAAGTTGGCAGCACCATTAAAGTTTCCCAAAATTCAATTTATTTTTATATATATATATATATATATGTATATATATTTATATTTAAATAAAAAGACTAATAATAGTATGTTATACATCGATAGCAGCAACAGCTTTTCCAGGTTCTGCAGTCATATGAACAAAATTATAGACATTCAGCTTATTCCATTAAAAACAAAACAAAACAAAACAAAAAACAAAGAAAAGAATAATATCCAGAAAACAGCAAAGTTCTGTTGCTGTTGTGGTACCTGGGACCATTTTTTTTTTATTAGCATCTTAATCATCATCTGGAAAGAGAACATTCTAGAGTAATATAATTAAATGTAGCTCTGATAAAGCACGGTCCCTACTATGTATCATAAAGCAGGTACAAGATATTTTAAATTCATAGAGGTATGATACAGTACAGTCCTACATCAATAATACTAGAATCAGTTTTGGTTTGAAATTTACTTTGTCTGCAAATAAGATTGCTACCCCTGTTTTTTTCTTTTCTCCTGTCACATGGAGAATTGTTTTCTATCTGTTGTATACAAGAGACACACCTAGTGCAAAAAGAAGCCCATAGACCGAAAGTGAAAAGATAGAAAACAAACCCTGATTATTTTTAAGAAGTAATGTAAATGAGGCCACTCCCTGTATTCAAGGTAATGATTGGTTATTCGTAGTTCTCATTCTGGGATGATCACAAGTCTTGCTAGGCTGCTAGCTTTAACATAATGAAGAATATCAAATAGGGGAGATAAATATAACAAGAAAACTATGAAACCTGTCTGATGAAAATGGTAAGGTTTTGTCAAAAGACATTGTAATTCAGAATAAATGAATTGGCTTGCTATGGTCTTGTGTGGAAAAGATTGATGTCATCACAGTATTGCAGTGTACTAAATTAATACGTAAATGTTAGGGTATCATGATCAGCATTGTGTGGATGGTTGTTTGTTTGATGAACTGGAGCTAACTTGGATTTTACAGATCATATGGAAGCGTAACAATTTGAGTATTCAAGTTAAATTGATGGAATTTACTTTATGAAACATACTAATCACGGTAGCAAACAATTGGCCAAAATAGGAAGAAAGATCTATGTATAAAACATAATTGAGGGTTTAGAACAGAGTCACCTGTCCTAATTCATTTAAAGCCACTATTCAGTTCATGGTTTCAGTGGTGCTAGCATAACTGATTCAACATCTGGAAGAAAATTAAAAGTTGTTAACTCACAACATATACGGAAATAAATCTCAAAGGAAAAGCAGTGCAACTCTAAAATGGAGTCAGTAAACATGTTTAGAAAAACATTGTAAAAATACCCATATAAACCAATGCGGGGACAGGCATCAAGAAAGGCAGGACACTCAGATGTCACTGTAAAGGGGTTGGTGTATTTTTACAATTTAAATACTGACGTTAATAGTGAAACAAAATTAGACACAAAAAAGTGAAAAAAAACTAAGCTGAGAGAAAATGTATGCCATATGTATGACAGCATTGATAAGATTAATATAAGGCTTTGTTTGTAAAGCTAATTAGAAAAAATAGAGAACTAGGCATAAGGTATATACAGGGAATTCATAGAAGAAAAGTACAAACTATGATTGTATAAAAATACTTTTCACTTACAAGGACTCATCACGGACATAAATTTTACATAAAATTAAATTTCTTTTTAGTGTACCAAGTGAAAGGCAGAAAAAGAACGTGCATTGCATGATAGCTCATGGTTAATGTTTGGGGAAATCTATGTTCTTTTCCATTTTAAATGAGAATGTGAATGGCTGTTTTTCTCCTTTCCTTTTTCCCTTTCCTTTCCCTTTCCCTTCTCCAACGCTTCCTCTTCTCTTTCCTATCGTATTGCTTGGGGATTGGAGTAAGATCCTCACACTTCACCACTGAGCATTATTACAATGTTTTCCCTTTGGCCAGATAACCTTTTCCTACAAATTGACTTGAAATGTCCAATAATAGTCATTGATCTGGTCATACTTGAATATAGTGAGTGGCATTTATTACAACACTTACTTGGTATAGTAAAAAAAAGAATATTTCTCGGTGAAAAGTTGAAAAACAAAAAAATCTTTTTGTGAAACATAAAAAAAAATGTTTTGAAAGCTGTATGTGCAACTTTTGATAAAAATGATGAGACTTTTATGAAGGAAATGACATAGAATGGTATTAGACTGTGTTGTTAAAACAGAGTAGTGTCTTAGTTGCTTTGTTTGTACAAGTTTATGATCACCTAGAAAATTTAGAAAAAGCGTACTCACTGTGATTGTTCCAGGTAGATAGAGGTGGGAATGCGCTGAACGTATATCATGCAGGGCGAAGAACAGAATCAGAAGGGAGGGAGAGACATGGGGGGGCTGGAGCAAATATTAAGTGAGTTTGGGTAGCAGAGGTTCCCTCTTGAGTAGCTGAAATGGTGATGTTTGAATGTCAGAGCTTAGATGCAATGCTTGAGGCAAAACTTCCTTGCTCAACATAAAATGGCCTTTCAGAAATTTTCTTTCTAGAGCCTTGTGCATGTTAGACGTGCGCTCTTCTCTAAACGCAGCACTTCCAACCCTCAAAGTAATTGATGAGAATTTAGTGGGAACTCGAGAAAGATTTTTTTTTCCTAAGTAATTAAAAGAAATCATTATTTGTTTGGTGTTGTTTTCGTCCCCAATCCCGCTGTTGGAACAGAGTTCAGGGGGCCCGGACTTGGAGGGCAAGGCACGAATCACCAGGCAGACTCTGGGGAAGTTTCTGGAACACATCCGCTTTATTCAGCCAATGCACAGACTTATATAGGGTAAGGCGGGGGTGGAGCCAGGGTGGAGTCGGATATTTGGCACATCGTTATTGGTCACATGTTAATTTTTGGATTGCATGCTTTAGGGGCTGAGGTGAACGGAGTCAGGACTTTAGAGGTTTTTGAGAGGAATAGATCTGTCTAAGGTCAGATCTCTACACACTCGAGGGGGCGGATTATTCCAGCCCTAATAGGCCACAGAGTTTTCTCACGAGAGGTGGGTAAGGCACTCCTGACTAAGCCAGACATGAACCTGATCCTCATTTTGAGAGCCACAACGCTGAGATTGTTGGTGGCAGATAACGTGAAGAAAGACTGAAAATCTGCCCTGGGAACCTGAAGTACTCAGTGGCAAAATTGAGAGTCAGGTCCCCCACGGCCGCGCCTCCTCGTGGGAGGCCAGAAATCACTGGCAGCTGGTCCCCCGCTCCTTCTGGAAGCATCTGGATACAGCAAGCAGGCTCTCTGGCACCCGGGCTGCTAGCCCGAGATCAGTCTGGAGGTTTCCTCCTCTTTTTCTCACGTGTGGATTATCTGTGGAGCTGAAACTAAGTCCAAGATGTTTCTGTGAAATAATAGCTGAGATGAAGACAAATGGACGGGCAGCTCATGCTGGCTAGGATTCCTCAGAATTATGTGCACGATGTATGTGTAAATCTGTTCACGTAAAACAACCATTGCCTTTCTTTTGATACTCATTAGAACTCGTTTTCTTGCATAGTTCTATTTATTAATTCAGGTTAGGGAGTATCCTACATAGAAGTGCTATTTATTAATTTCTAGTAGGAAATTTTATGGTATCACATTGTCCTACTCTCGTCCACCTTCTTAGAAGTCATTTCTGCTGGAGGAAGGTAATTCTTTTGTGGAGCATGAACATATTCCGAGCTGTCAAATAATAAGTGACATTATTTATGTGCTCATTCAGTAGGCAAATTGAGTGTCTAAAATAGGCTCGCCAGAATCAAGAGCAAGGCACATATAGAGAACACTCATTCTGATAGTGTTCATCACAATAAGGTAATGAGACTAAGAACAAAGGTTCTTCGGCCCATAGTTAACATTGCATAAAAAAATAAATTCTAGCTTTTGACTGTGCTCTGAAACTTAACTTTTGATACACCTTAAGCCACTGGTGGCAAACCTAGGCATGCGTGCCACTGTGGGCTGTTTGATCACTGAAAGCTCTAAAGTGTTTGCCATCACTTCCTTAAAGCCACGAAATGCATCTTCTGTCCCTGTATGGCAGGACAAAAATATTTGTAAGCTGAGTCATTGAACACAGCCAATCAGGTATTGCTCACCACAAAAGTGTTGGCTGATTTTTCTCTTTGTTCTAATTTCTTATCTTGATTGCTTTTTAACTGGTGAATTTTACAGTTTCCTATCGACATCAATACAGCCATGACATGTGCTGTGTTCTATGGGTAATTTTCTCTATTTCAGGTATACCTGTCTCATTTCCAACAGTTAGGAAGTCTCATCCTATGGGGTTTGAAGAGAAAGCACCTCGTCCATTTCCTCCCCTGTAATTCGGAAGGGAAGATGGAGGTTGGGTGTGTATGATTCAGTTGTGAATCTGGGCAAACACCAGGTGCCATTGATACCCATCCATTCTCGTTGCAATGAGAAACCTGAGGTGGCTTGGTGACTAAGGGGTGAGGAGGGTCAGAAGATACCAGGGGAGGCAGACTTGTGATGATGCCATGACCCACGAAAAGGAGGCACGAATGGTGATTGAGAGAGACAGAACAGTCTGAGGGGGTGTCCCTGAAGAGATGAACGTGAGCGGGGTCCAGCGCACAGGTGCAAAGAGGGCCATTTGTCCCTTCAGGCAGGGCTGAGTCCAAGCGTGTGATGCTCAGGCAGACGGGCTGTGGCTCCTCCGAAGATGGGTGGTGCTTTTTCTCCCGGTGTGCATCACGGAGGCCCAGTCATTGTGTTTGAGTTCACCCTCTCCAGTCTGAGAGCTGAGCAGAGCCACGGTGTAAGAAGAGACACAGCAGAGTGAGGGGCACAGGGAGTGTCTACAGTGCCAGGTCTCGCAATCGGTGGAGTTCAGTGACAGCAGAGGTGGCAGGGCCGGCACATCCAGCGAGAACAAAGATGGCTGCTATACGCTTGAAAACCAGGTGCCTTACACCAGAGTTTGACAGTAACTATGGATGATGTGAAATGAAGAAGTCAGAACAAGAACGTAGAGAGCACGTTGTCGGGGTCACCTCTGATGGTGGCATGAGGGTGGTAACATAAGCAGGAGGAGGAGAAAGCAGGAACCTGCTCCACTGGCTAACAGACAGCGGGGCTGGCATCGCGTCCTTGCTGTGGGAAATGCAGACATTTTTCTTGCAGTTTGCCTGAGGGCACTGGTTCTAATTCATCTGTGCACTTTTTTTTTTAATTTGAAGTATAATGTTAACATATTCTCTTGCACTGTAATGCATGTCCAATTAGGCTCTATCACGTTGGTCTTTCTGTTTTATCTTTAATAAACTAGGATACTGCTTTGCCCCAAGGAAAACCATAAGATTCCTGAAAACACTGTTTCAAGATAATATTTCTTGACCTTTCGGTTGACCAGGGTTTTATTTGGTGATAACGTTCTTTCAAAAATTAATATCGAAAAGGGCTTCCTATGAGCTACAGAAATTACTGGGGCATTTTTAGAATCTTTAGTTTATTGATATTTATAAAATATTATAGTTCAGATAAAAGTGTTTTAAACATAATTCTACCATCCGAATACATTTCATAATGAATAGATTACATCAGAAATGTCTAGGTACGTAGCGGTCTGTGCCGAAGTGCCATTGTCTTAAATTTATTTAGTAGTATTTATCAGATTTCTACGTACAAAGATGATTCTCTGCTTTGGGGTATCCTTTACATACTTAACAACAGAGTTAAAAATATAAGACAAACATGCATAAAGCATTTTGAAATATAAAATGGTAAGGGGAAAAATGAGAATCAAGACTTGTCATGTAGAGGTACAAGATCCCAACAATGAATGTAACTGTACTGTATCCCTAAAATGTACCAATCAACCCAATTAAAGCTGAAAAAAAAAACTCCTTAAAATTGTGAACATTTATAACCCCAGATGTGTTATTGCTACACTGATTTTTGTTGTTCTTAAAATTCAACCAGCATTGTAAATAAATTCTTTTCTTTTTTCTTTTTTTATACTAGGGATCAAACTCAGGACCTTTTGCTTGCCTGATGGGTGCTGTGACACTGAGTTATAGCCCTGGCCCAGATATATTCTCAGCCTAATATTCTTGATTTTAGAGAGGTTTTTAAGAAATGTTATTTAGGATTTCAGTGATGTCTAGATAGTAATAAAAATTGCTGTCTTGTTTTTAGTCATATTTGCTATTCTATTCAAGAGGAAGTAGGAATAAAGGTACTTCAATCCTGAGGAAACGCACTGCATGAATTTCTTTACATGTGTTAGGTTATACCTTTGCATTAGAAAAGCATTTTTAAAAACTCATGTGAAATCTAAAGGTATCTTACATTGACTTCTGGGATAATGTATCTTCTTTTATATTTAACTTCTACATTTGTAAGTTTTTAAAGCATTTTAGCTCTCTATAACAAGAACACTACTCAGAAGGAGCATACTGTAGCATAACTTTTAATTAATATTCTTATAGTGCTGTATGTCTTTGAAAAACCTTTCAACATTATTAGTGTTACTATAACAGGCAGCAATAGTTTCTGATAACACAGTGTGGAGTATGACCTATAAATAGTTTCCAAACAGTATTTTGGAAAAGGATTATAGGAAAGTAATGATAGAATTATCATCCATGAAGAAAAGGAAATTAAAATACCTTTGAGAAAGGTCAAGAAGATAAAGGATTATCTGAAAGACTAGTGAACTTTAGATTCATTTAATCAGAAAAGGCAAGAATTATACATACCACAGTGCTACTGGTTGAACTTTTTATCACTTTTTAATGAGAATTGCTTAATGACTAATTTATAATTTTATTTCTTGTTTCAAGCCATGATCTTCCCCTAACTTTCATTTCTAGCACATCAGCTCTGTCGGTACTGATGGTCTGTGTCAAGGTGTGAGTTGAGGGATGAAGTCACAACCTAGCAGTCCACACAGCTGTGTCCCGGTAGTTGATAGTCTACAGCAAGGACCCCAGAGTCACCAGGAAAGTCTTGGGAATATCGGGGATGGAGGAGGATGGTGATGATGGAGGTGGTGCTGTGCGCTGCTGTGGGCCCTGTGTGAAATAAGGTGATGTCACCCTGGAATCACACTGAGGAGTCTTGCTGGGTTTGAAGTGAGTTTATTTCCTTGTGAATCTGATGCATCAAAAAAATCAGGACCATGGGCTGGGGATTTAGCTCAGTGGTTCCATCGCCTGCCTTGTAAGCACTAGGTCCCAAGTTCAATCCCCAGCAAAAAAAAAAAAAAAATCAAAGACTAAAGATC